CGAGTTAAGATAATAATTATATATTATTGTTTTTTCATCAAAAAAAATCTATATTTAGAAATAAAATATCATTTGTTTTGAAGAGTATTCAAATTGTTAAAAAGAATTTTTCAAATTTAACCAAACGTTTTATATTATTAAAATAGATTTAAAGAATAATTTTCATATTCGTGAAATTAAAAAAATCGAACGTTCATATTAAATCTTTATTGTTATTTTTTCAAAGCTAATTTAAATAGTTAACTATCTACTTGCATTTGGTCAAAAATTCGTTATTTATTATATAAATCGATTTCTAGATGAATCTATATTGATTATCTTATTATATATAAAGATTGACAACGAAAATTATTTATTATTTTAATAATCTATCCTAGAAACATTATTGATCTAAACAATTTTGATACAATTTATTTCTCTCTACTGAACGATCGCTAACAAATGATCAATATTTCATCCGATTTGAACTTGTTTTGTCGAAAATCTGTTTTCAACTGCTAGATAGAAACGTTCTATAAGACGATCGAACTATCGATTAAAAATTTCTAAGGAAATAAATTGAATCGATTCTTATAAAAATGTTTTGAAAATAAATTTATTTGAATAGGATATTTATCGATATGGTTAAACAAAGAAATTCGAAAATAAAAAATAAAAATATTTTGTTTCTTTATATTTATTAATATAGAAGTGATGATGTACCTGATTAATACAATCGAGTTCGTTATATTCCAGATTCTTGTAAAGTATTGTCTGATCTTTGGAAAATAAATAAAGATTTTGTAAGTTAAATAAAAGTATTGATAAGGATGTATCAAAATCATTGAAAGAATTTCGTTGGAGTGATGTTGCACATTGTCATCGTTCTCCATATAGAACAAATGATGCTTTATCGATTTTAAATCAAACAATTGATGATTAAATTCAAATACATGATTTTATTGATTCCAAAAAGAAAAGAATGGCTTGAACAATTTTAAAAAATTATTGAACAAGCTAGAGATAAACAAGTATTTATTTATTGATTTATTTTTAATATAAGTCAACTATTCGTCAAACAATGACTAAACTAAGAGATAATTATGAAAAAGCTCAACGAAAATTAGAAACAGCTGATGCCAATTTAAAAAAGTTTCTGTTTTTATAATTTAAAATAAAAAATGTTCTAATTATTTTGTCAAGATTTCATACACGATCTGATCGTTTAATATTAGCAAATTTTGATGAACGTTTACGTGAATTAGAAGATATTCGTTGTGAATATGAACAATCTCGAACATTATCACGTGATATACATGCAACTGAAACATATATAATAGCTAGTGAAGAATATTCAATTACAATTAAACTTTTTTATCAATATTTATATGAAGAAAATCAATTTTATAATAACATATCTCGATATTTATCATGAAAAATGCCTGAAATTGAACAAAGATTAGAAAATGATGATTTAATTCTATTATTTGGTTATGATCTTATAAAACAGTGTTCAAAAAGAAAAGATACATTAATTGCTTATCCAATTGAAATATGTATTCGTCTATTAGAAAATAGTTTAAATGAAGAAAGTCTTTTTCGTATTGCACCATGACAAGGAAAACAAAAATAAATTGTTGCTGAACTTAATTTACAAACAATTGATAGGAGAACAAGATTAAATGAACTTAATTATGATCCACATGTTCCTGCAAGTACACTTAAACAATATTTAAGAGAACTTCCTGTTTGCTTACTTACAACTGCATTTTTACCACAATAGAATAAGACCATTTCACTAGGGTTAACACTTTTTTCTCTTTTTCTTATTCAATTATCCTAAACAAATTTATTTTCATTTATTGACCTCTAGCAAGAAACTGCCCCTTCTGCACTGTCGATGTTCTCTTTCTGTCCCGTGAGACGTGGCAAGGAGTTAGCTCTGAAGTCTTTATTTATTTACATAAATGAAAACTTGTTTATTTAATTAATTATTTTGATGAGTTTATGGAACCTTCCTTCATTTTATAAATTCATATTAATTATATCATGTTTGGGTATAAATTCTTGAGGATTGTTTAGAAAACGTAAGAGAGCATCATAATGATTTCCGGTGAAATAAATACATAAACTCAATTTGTTCATATCTGATTTGCATCCAATATATTTAAGATGACCACCTGCGGTTCCTTTATCGGATCGACCGATCAATTTTTGTAGACTGATATCGGATGGAATATAGTGTTCATTTTTTGAATTGCTCTCGAATTTGACATATGAATAAATAGGCTGACATAAGGCTACAGAAAGGGCTTGAATTTGAACTTCTCCACCCCATTTTGCATCCGTGACAGTTCTTTTCATCTGTTCTTCAAATGAATAATTCAATGCTTTACAAATTCTTTTAAAATGATCACTATTATTAATCATTGCATTGACTGTGCTAGTCTTTCAGAACCAATATTAAGTATCGAAAGAGAATTATATAAACAATTGCCATCTTCAGTAGTGTGGGTTCTTGCGTAGACTGAGTCGAATGTTTGAACAGAATATTCTGTTTTCTGTCTCAGTTTAACAGATTAATCTTTGTTATGTACAGTTATATATGATGATCTTTCAAGTGACTGATTAATTATTTGAGCTTGGCTTAAAATTTGATTTATGATCACAGTATTGTTATTAATATCATGTACAGAAAGAAAGTGATCAAGAATCTTTCTTGAGTTTAAATCAATGCTTTTATGACTTTCGAAAGAAGATTCTTCATCAATTTCCATCATGGCAGACTGATCATTAATTTTAAGATCTTCGAGATTAAAAGACATATCTGTACGAATTTGTTTGTTTTCATCAACATGAGATTCAGTCACAATTGAATATTTTCTTATCCATATCGGTTTATGAAAACTTGTGAGACTTTCAAAATAGTCAGATTTGAAGTCATTCAAATTAGTGAAGCAATAATGAATCTGTGCTTTAGCATTAGTTGAGTTTTTACCTAATTTATTATTCAAAGTAAGCCCGAATGATTCCATGTATTCAACGAATTTGTAATTGGTTTTAATCTTCAAATCTGTATTAAAATCATTCGCGACAATTATATTTTCACAAAACCGTTTTGAAACCGTTATAACTTCATTAATATTTTGTTTTAAGACATCGAATGACGCATTTGGTGAACTGTAAACGGAAATAATACAAATATCATCAATTTTTATTGAGGAATATTCAATATGATTTTATCCTAAATATTCACATCTTTCGATAATATTTTCATAGTTCAAGTCATTTTTTAAATAAGTTATTTGGCCATATGATTTTCACATATGATTACAATCACGTCTTTGAACTATCTTGAAACCTTCGATTTCCAAAGAGTCACCAGGTTTTGTCCATTTTTCCACAAGACTTATCATAAAAGCAGACAAAAATGTTTTGTCAGATTTGATGTCCAAAAAATGTTTATTCAATGATCGCACGTTATGAAATATCACAAAATCTTTCCCTTTGAGATTCTTCAGGAAATTCAAGTGCAAATTTGATTATTCTTTCGGTTCTCACGGTTTTAAACATCATCGGCACTGTATCATTACTGTCAGGTGATTTTATTAGAACAAAATCGCCAATTAAATATAAACCACTTGCTTTTGTTGCGCGACTGCACACGACGTTTTTTATCATCACATACCTAATGGTCAACATGTAATTAGCAATAATGATCAAGACATTCTTTCACATGCACTCACTACTATGGATAAACATGTCAATAAATTGCCACTCATCGATATGTTTGGCATAGTTCTACGAAATGCTCTTGAATGTGTTATTAAACTTGAACAAGCTGAAATTCGTGATCTTTTCACAACAACTATTAAACAGCTCAATTCAACTGAAGGCTTTGACAATCGAACACATAAACTCATAACCAATATTCTACAATCGTCTGACAAATTTGCTATTTTTGAAAAGACCAAACACCAATTGAATGCTAATGTTCGTCAATTGCTTGGTCCAGTTATTGAACGTGAAAGCCAATTTAAGAATGATATTGATCATTTAACTAACAATCATCAAGCGATTGAAGATTATCGTCGAGTTTTCGATGCTCTTAATATTACCTTTGGTACGGCTTCAACACAGCGAGCTGATTTACAAAGAATCATTGAATAGCAATCGAATTCAGACGGTAGATTGTTGAAAAGAGCAATGAACAATTTTATTAGTGAAGTAAGCAAGCAAGAACATGGAATAAAAAGTACGAAATCAATGAAGCTACTCCAAGAGTATCTCAATCAAAATATCATACGACCCTATCTAGAGAATAAATGCGAACGACAAATGGATGAAAATGATATCAAACTTGCCGATAAATTTACTGAAGCATTCGTCTATGTACAGAAACAATAAGGAAAACTTCAACAACAGTGAAAATAATTACGGTTTTTGTTTGTTAATAACAAAAAAGAGAATGTATCATTGTATTCTATTCTTATATTAGAAAAATAACAGAGGAAAACAATGCATTGTTAATTTCGAGATAGTTACATCGATTACTCCTAACAATTCTGCTGACTTTCCAAGCATTATGAATAGATCGTTCTTCAGATTAAGATTCTTATTCATTCAATGAAGAATACCAAAATTAGTATATTCTAGAAGAACGATCGACTCACAGAATAGCAAGGACAAATGATCCTCGAGTGATAATGAATGTGTACGAATAATAATTGTCACGATGCACTTCGATCAATCCAAAAATCACTTCACGTGACAAATGATTTGAGGATATGAGTATTCGTGTGAACTTGAAGACGATCGTATATTCTGAAAAACTATCATTCGCTTTGCTGGCTATAGACTTCAACAGGGTGTGGTTGCGTGTCCTAGTGAAAATAATAGTGTCACATTTACGTTAGTGAATGTTAATTTAGTCGAAATTAGTCTAACTACAAAAAAAAAGAAAAAATGTTAAAACTAATTCCAAACTTTTCCTAAAAACTATAGTTCCAATGATGACCTGAGTACATTTTTTCTTCTTGACTATGAAATTAACGAAAATATATGTCGAACATAAATCAAAATTAATCGTACCATTTGAAACTATTATTCTGATTGACTTGACTCTACTAAAGTATTCAATATTATGCTTTAGATGTTTCTTTTCTCGAGTACTTGAATCTTTGATTAATATTGAGGGTTCTAACAATGGTTGAGGAATAGAAAATGAATGTTTGATAGGATACAGTTTTCTAGTCGACGGAATCTGATGGCTGCCTAGGAGCTCGAAATCAGAACAAAACAAACAAAAAATATATATTTCAAATTTTCGAGCGTTCATCTCACCGATTGTGTGTTTTTAAAAGTCCGCTTGAATGACTTTGATATTCTCAAATGGCTTCAATACAGTCTAACAAAAATTTTAAGTCTAGATCAAACAGAAAAAGTAATTATATATCGACTATTCTTCGACTTTTACTATACTGTCTGAGATATATCTTTCCTGAAATCTTTAATATTTTCGACAAAAAGACACAATTGAGAAACGTACAATAGAATGATGTAAATAGGATAAAATAAATAATATAGATAAATGAATAGAAGAAGATTTTTATAAGAGAAAAATACGTTCATCTACCGGTAAAGTGTAACATAAAGATCGTCTTCTTCAATGGCTCATTTGAGTTTTTGATGAAAATCAAAAGATATTCAAGCGCAGATTTTTGCAATTTTCTCTTTTTTTCATGCGTTGATGTCAAATAAGTAATCTAATCATCTTGAAAACTAGTATTTAGATATTGTATTAGTAGTAATATGAGCCTTCATAAATTACAAGTAACGCATCGGCCATCGGGCCTCACTTGACTCAATCCTGGAAGCAGAGAATAGGGACATTTCTATATTGTATAGTACTTTCAAAACCTAATTGTAACAGAGATCAGTTAATATTTTTTGGATTCTTTTTATCGCAGTCAACCACTCGAAGAAAACATCAAACATTCCCTTGGAGACTTCCTGTGAAAACGTCTCTGTATACCCTGGTGCCATTCTTTTGTAAGTCACCTACGTAAGCACTGTATGAAGTTCCTCGACTCAAATTCTGCGCAAGAAATAGTATTTGAATCTTGAACAGAATATGCCTGCTTTCTGTTTAAAAACCCTCTACACACAGGATAACCTTAGATACAAAAAAAAACTTATTATGTTGATTTTGCATCGGCAACCACCTGTGATTAAGTATCATTCTGAGAAAAAATAGATTTTTATGACTTTATAGTTGTCACAATGTCCTATTTTACAAATGATCAGTTTTCATTTCTTGAGCGTATATTATTTTCTGAATAATTTAATAAAAAACAAACATACAACAAGTTTAGTATGAATGAACATCTCTTACAGAAAAGCAACAATGAAATAATAATCTCATGAATTGAAGAAAAGAGAAGATCAGATATTATTGTCCACAAGAATCTTACACAAATATCCAATTTGTAGAATAAAAACTGAGAATCAATCTTCTTGAGCGAAAAATATTTGAGAATGTGTTTCTGCGTGATATATTAGGCGGAGCACCCACATATGCACCTCATTTGATAGAGCGTTTCCGAGGTGTGATTGGAGAAAAGATCAACATCCACACTCTACACCCACACCCACATCCTCATATAGCATAGAACATAAATACGTGTGATGTTACAATTATTTCGGAAGTCTTCTTCTTCACATATCTGTCGGGTCCATCATAAACACTTATCGAATGATCATATATTTGAAATTACCAATGATAATGATGAGATAGTGTATACTGTTCGTTCAAATTCATTATCCTTGACCAACAAAACTGTCTCTTTGTGAAGCATCAACTGGCAAAGAATTAATTAAAATACGTGAGCAAGTCCTTCATTTCCATTTAGTGTATGATATTTTAGCAGCAAGTGTCAACGATAATAAAGATTCACATTTGGGAACAGTTAAAAGAACTCATGATCAACACCATTTTCAAACGGCACTTACAATAGAGTCGGTCTATGATGTACACAAAGTAGAATCTATCGAAGGCGTATTCGGTCATGAATTTAAAATAACAACCGGTGGCAAAACTGTACCCTATGTAACTAAGAATACCAAATTTGTGCAAGAAAAAGAACTGTATCTTGTTGAGATCAATGATGATGATGGTGGCAATGTATTTTTATTGGCACTTGTGATTGTAGTTTGATATGCGCAACAATAGCACCATATGTAAGAAATAGATATCTGATGTTCATCGAAAACAAAAACTCTTTCTCATATATTACTAACCTATTGTTCATCTGACTGATACTCTTTTTGTCGAAAAGACGCAAAAGAAAATTACATCCAATCAAAAATGATTAGGTAACTAGTCTATTCCAACGACTATCTAAATCAAAACTATAAACTAGCTAATGTCCATACATAGATTTGATGAAAAGAAATCTACTGAGGATTTTTTTTCGTTGAAACATCGATTCATTGAAAACATAATATTCTTAATCAATCAAATAGGAATCGTAGCCTCGTATCTGAGCTATCTAAACTTTTCATTTCTAGCACTGTTGGAACAAATGAGAATGATTGAACTTGTTTGTGGATTTGTTGATATTTGATAGTTTTGCTTTCAAACAATGTTGTTTTATGTCAAAATCAATCTCGTGTTGTTTTCTTATTTGATGCTCAACTGAATTAATCGATGTTCATTCCATCATCAATCCAAAAAAAGACAATTTTTCTTGGGCTCAATTCAACTTATTGAGAACGCTGATATGATCACACTAAGAGAAAGATATTTGAATGACTTTGAATGACGTAGACTGATAAATAGAAAAAATAAATCGATCAAGACTTGCTTATAGTTCCGTTCTTCTACAAGATAAAAGATCGTACAACAAGACACCATAGATAACGCTACAAAGTATCTTTCAAAAAAATGACTCATATTGAGCAGTGGAATCAGCTATCGATAGCTGATTGAATGTTGTAATACTTATGTTTTCCGTTTGAAGACTTTTATTCTGTAAAAATTCTTTATTTCTAAAAGTTTATTGCTTGTACAATAGCTTGAAATTCTTCGAATTTAATTTGATGGATCAATCAAAAACAATATTAGTTATATGTATTATCAAAAAAAAGCTTCAGAAAATACGGTTGATTAGTAATTAATGAATGCTTCGTGGAATTCGGAGTTAGTTAATTAAGAAAAAGTATTGAAGGAATGTGTCTTTTTAGCCTGATAAAATATCATATTTGATAAAAGTTCCATAGGTGGTTATATTCGGTGGAGCTTGAAATTGAAGAATAACTTGATAGTTAGAATCCGATTGTTAAATAATGTTTTCATTGCTGATCGGAATTTCAGTTTGTTGACCATTTAACACTCGATAGATATTTTTAATTGGTCTTCTGAGAGATTCGGCATGGAGCGAAATGGTATATGGTCGACGCTGTTCTGTGAATGGTGTTTCAATGGTCAAAGTCATGATTTTAGTTGGACAGGATCAGAAAAGTTGAACTGAATCATGTGATTGAGCGAGTTCAGTATGGACCAAATTAAGCACTTGCGTTTCGGCGTCATTTTCAAAAGCCACCGTTGCTTTACCCGACTCGCTTATATTAAAATAACGCATATTCAACGAAATTTGATCACACATTGTTCTGTTTCGGTTACTAACTCAAAAGGAAAAGATGAATATCACTGCAAACAATAGTTCATCTATTTCCTGCACTCTGATAAATGACTATTCGAAACATTCTTCCTTTTCCATTCGAGAAGCCCTGTTAAATAGTTACAAGAGATAATAACAACTGTATCACAAGAGACAGTGAAATGAGTGATATCACATAAGAGCAATATGCCTATCGACACGTTAAACTTGTCAAAAGGAAGATCTACAAAGGACGATGACAAAAATGTTTGAATACCTTATACGAGCAAGTAAGAAAAATAAATAAGATTTAGTCAAATTGCTTCAGTAATTAATTTTTTCTAATCATGTATCGAATATTTTCAGAGAAAAAGCAATATAAACATATACTATCATGTACGAATATATGAGTTTAACTATGGTGATGTTCTAGTTCGTCATCACAGAAATAAGTGATATTTGAGGAAGTTTGTCGCTAATGTTAGTCATCATAGTGAATTTTTTAATAAT